GCCTGTCCACCACGAGTTTTCAAATATCCCCGCCAGTGGCTGTGCAGTGACGTCACACAGTGCCTTCAGTACCCTCGAATGGAGCTCATTCGGGCCTGCGACTTAAAGGCATACAGTTCCTCCAAGTGACTCTGCACCATCTCAGGGTCTATGCATGGCAGTCTGGTGCCTTGCTGCTGCCTCTCTACAATCCCAGTGAGAGCCTTGTCGTGCCCCTCACTTAGGAACACTGAGGCAAAGAACTCGTTAAGGAGTTCAGCCTTGTCCCCCCTGTCCATCACCAATTGCTTCTGCCCATTTAGTAGGGGTCCTATTCCTCCCTGGGCCTTCCTTTTACCCCCTATGTATCTAAAAAACATTTTTTTGTTATCCTTTACTTGGGATGCCATCCTCAGCTCCATGGTAGCTTTGGCCCATCTAAGTGCCTCCCTACAAGTGCGAGCAGAGGAGGTATACTCCTCTTTGGTAATACCTAACAACTGTCCTTCAATTGCAATGACACCCTTTGTGGTCCCCAAGCCATGTATTTTTATAGCATTACCAGCAGACATTTTATAAGTTAAGCTTGTTGGCAATGCATTGTGCAGCCACACACCACATGCCCCCACCGTGGCATCTCATTACATTTTGAAGGTTGATTTCTTTCCTCTTGCCCGTCATACCTAATTCCTGGAGTGCTTTTGTACTTAAGCTTTTGTATAATCTGTGGTGGGAGAGTGGTGTCCCACTGACCACAAGTAACGGACTCGTTGAATCTGTCATTTGACAGAAAAATACACTGGAAAGTCCCATGTTGGATCATCAGAAATAAAAAAAGAGGGCTGGAGGGTAGAATTTCATTTTACATACAGATTCAAAAAGATGCTTGACTTTTCTTAATAATGATTAACAAATCATAACTAGTTTTAATTATCTTGTGCACCTGAGAACTAATTAAAAATAAAAATAATACATGACTGTCTTTTTCCTCTTCTTCCTCTCTGCTTCCTTTCACACTAGCTCATGTGACTAATATAAATGGGCACCCCATAAATACAAACCTTAACCTACCATAAATGTTTCTCAAAGCAAGGAAAATACAAGAACATCTGTCAATGTTATGTGCATGCAAATTATTGAAGTAGAAGCCCAAGTTGCATTCTCATGTACACTAGGGTATATTTGTATCAACTTATGCTGCAGAATTTGGCCTCTGGTTCCCACATCAACCATAACTCAGCAGCATTGTTAGTTAATCATTGTATTTTGATCACATTGCAATATAGGGGTTGTCATAATCTAAACACCCTCTTGCACAGAGGGCAGGGATTCAGTCTTCTCTCCCAATAATTCAAGAGGTATGCAACTCTTGGGGGATTTGGTGGAGACTGGAATTGTATAGTGAAGGTCCTGTATATTTGTCTTGTAATTCAGTTCCAGTGGCATCAGCTTGCTAGAGTCTCTTTGTGTCCTCTCTCAGGGGTGTATTGCTTACCATGAAGAATTTTGGCACCAGAGTTAAAGGAGCCTGAGACTACTTTTCAGTGAAAATCTCCAATAGGAGTGTCAGTGGTACATTGTATTTGGTCAATAAAACAAATATAAAGGTCCTCACCTCAGCAGGTAGAACATGACATGGCTCCACTGGTATCAACAAGCTCCACAAATGTATTGTTTTTAACTTCTTTATGCAGTGGCACACATTGGATATCTGGAGGCAATAGGCTGTATGATGACTTGCCAGACATTCATTTAAAAAACAAATGACAAAAAAATTAAAAATTCACAAACATTAGAAGCTGGAAGTGGTACTTTTGCAGATGTGTGCAATATGCAAATAAAATGAATCTTAGGAAATTTGTGATATGAAGGGTTTTTGTTTAATAAAATAAAAGTTGTTTAAAAAATAAAATTTGATGGAAAGTCATCGATCTTTTGGTGAGTATGGGATGTAATGGGACTGCTGAACACAAACTTAATTAAAAGTAGCAGAAATGGCACCACAGAGATCAATACATCTGAAACACTCTCTTGTGTGATGAGAAGTTTTGTGTGCAGCAAATGCAATTCTTAATTTAAGGGGTCATGGGTGGGGAGAAGTGATCCCATAGACAAAGAGGAAAACTCAGGTAGCTGCAGTTGATGTCTCTCTCTGATGGTATCCTTACTTCTGAATAGAAAGAAAAAAACACGTTGATACTTTTTTGCATGGAGAAGTATACTGCTTGACTTGTCACTAGGGCATACAGCAAAGAATGGTACATTTAATGGGCCCAGTCTACAGCTGGTGTAAATTGGCATAGCTCCATTGAAGTTAATGAAACCACATTGATTTACACCAGCTGAAGGACTGGCAGCATTTATGTTTAAATCAATTTCAGTCTGATTTTTACCCCAGCACTAACCTAAATGACATGTTTCCCTAGTGAATTTCGAGAGTTTGCGAATGGTTCTGTCTGCATGGAATGTGATCCCCAGTGTGAGAAGATGGAAGACAACATGATCACGTGCTATGGACCAGTAAGCACAACATAAATGCCTTGTATCTCTGTAGCTTAGTTATTAAGTGCATGCCAGCTTAAGTAGTTATTTATAAATAGCTGTTTTTGTTCAAGAGGACTTTAAGGATCATCGCTTTCAACCATTTTAAATGCATTGCTAGTAAATGGTGACAAGCAAAAGAAATTTTGCAGGCCAATAGAAAGTTGGAAATAAAAAAAATGAAATAATAGAAAAAGCAAACTTTGATATTGTTATTCTCTCTTTCTGCACCCACTGCAATCTTAATGCTCATTTATTGATTTCTATAGACAACAGGTTGAACACTTTTTTCTGCATACATTGGCAAAATTCTGTTTGGCAAACATGTCCAGAGTGAAACGTATCTTGAATCAGATTCTCAAATGCTTAAGAAATAAAAATATGCTAATCTCTCCATTCTTAGAGATGTTGTGTAATCTCAGTGCTAGAAGCCTATATAATTTCTTTCACTCATACAATTTTGTACTTTGCACATTAATTTTTGAAACAGAGAAACTACTCAGCTGTCATTTAAATATCATTTTTTTCACTGCTAGATCCCCGTCCCCCCCCATTTATAGTCAGTCAAGTCTTGTTCCCCTCCATACCTCCCATCATATCATAATCATTCTAGCTCAAGCCGTTGTGTTTTCTGTATCCAAATGACTGAGCTAGATATGAAATTCCTAGTGTCCATCTTAAAAACAGTATGAAGTGCTGCGGACCCCATTATAATAATGGATGAGCCTCACTAGTTGCTTTTGAATAGTGAGCAAAGTGAAATGATTCCAATATTTTTTTTTCTGTGCATAACCCAAATAAAAGGTGGGAACCCCCATAATGAGTAGATATAATCCCTCACCTAGTTTAAGAACAGAATTTATTTTGGACTTTTGTGGCTATAAATATGGTAGGAGGATTTGCCTTAAAATCTTTCACGTAATTTAGCTACCGATTTTAAAATGTTCTGCATGAATGATTTCTATCACTACTAGTATTAGTTTTTTGTTATACTTTATGCCAGTGGTTCTAAACCTTTTTAGACTTGAGGCACACATCCATAACCTTTATGAATTGAGATTTCAGTGCTTACCTCTGTGTGCAGGGGCTGAGGTAGGAAGGGCAGGCAAGGACAAGCCTGTGCCTACCTCCTTGCACACCACAGCACCCTTCAGATGATCTCACAGCATTCCAGGGTGCTGCAGAACCCCAGCTGAGAATTACAACTTCATGCAATTCATTCACTCAGAGCACTGAAGCCCCATGTTTTCTAACATAGTTGGATATTTAAATTTTCAGCTAACTGTTTCAAAAGCATTGTCTCTGCATCATATAGCATTATCCACTGGAGACAGCTGACAGTATTGTGCACAGTTGTGTCCAACTCACTCTGGGCCTGGCTGCTTTTAAACTTTATGAGAGTCTTGACTTCAGTGTCAAACTTCAAGTCTCTATGGGGTAATAATCTGAAGAAACTCAACAGCTCTTTGGTATTGCTGTGACTAGAAACCACAGGCAAAATTCTGCGCAGAAATAATTCTGAGATACAAAGAAGTTGATCTCACTGAGGAGCCATTATAACCACTTTGCAGCTATGTTTAATATTGAGCAGTGGAACAGGAAAATTCCAGGACAAATGAAAGTGGGCATGAAGCCCAATGAGGTTCATCCATCAAAAGTATCCAAATCAAATCACAGGTACTACTACAAAAACAGCACTCTAATGGTAATCTCTCCTGTGTATATTTTCAGTACAGAGCATGGAGATTTAGCTATGTGACTTTCATTAATGATAACTGGGATCACCCAGCTAGTTCTGTATTCTCTATGCTGAAAATGTACTCCTCTATCTTTGAGCATATAGTGCCCAGCATACAGCCAGCAGTCCTTGTACAGTAATTAAAAGGTAGAGTATGTTCAATGCACTGCATTTTTTTCATGCTTTCCAGGGGCCAGACCATTGCACCAAGTGTTTCCATTTTAAGGATGGGCCAAACTGTGTAGAAAAGTGCCCTGATGGTTTGCAGGGAGCAAACAGCTTCATTTTCAAATATGCTGACGAGGACCGTGAATGCCATCCTTGTCATCCGAACTGTACCCAAGGGTAAGCTTCAGTTCCACATACAGTATAGCAAGCATTCCGATTTAATATTTACGTTAAATAATGTTGTGTTTGGTTCAAAAAAGAGTTCATTCTTGAAACAGCGTGTATACAGAGCAATATTGTAACCCCTTGATTTTAGATCTCTCCCTACAGCCAAGACCAAGTTGTTAACAGCAGCTTATCAGAGGACCAGGCTCAACACCAAACTTCACAATCTATTTGAAATGGTTCTTACCTAAGGGCTCCTTGGCCATCCTAATAACTTCCGCTGGTGTGGAAAGCATTTCTAATAGTGCTTGCATGGAAACAGGAATACAAGCAGGTGTTGTTTGATATTTGTTTAGAGACTTTTTCACCTGGTGGTCTTCGCCACCCCCTGGCACTCATGGATTCATTCTTGCAGCATTCCTGAGAGGCAAGGAAGCATTACTATCTCCATTTTGCAAACAAGAACTGAGGCAAAAGGAGATTAAGTGACTCACCTTGTATTATTGCAAAGTTTCTGTCAGGGCCAGGAACAGAACATAAATCTCTCAAGATCCAGTGTTATTGGATCTTTCCAAGCACTCAGTTCTTTCTGAATGAGGCCACTTCAAGGTATTTAGAAAGGTTAGCCATCCCAAACCACTGTTGTCTTTTGAAAATATAAGCCAGCATGTCTGACAAATAATTGCCCATATCTCAATGAGGTTTCTAAACCAATTGAAGGACCAGGTAGTATATGAGGTATTGTGGGGCAGAGGCAGTGGGGAAGAACTTGGTGTGAGAGGGCTTTAGTAAAATGCTATTCAAATACATCTGGCATTAATGGGACACAGGACAGAACTCAAGGCATTTCCTCAGGAGGTTTCTTGGATAGTCCCCTGTATTCAACATGTTTTGAAAGCGCTGAATTCTCACCAACTGAAATGAAGGCTTCAAAGGTGGGAATAGTCATTAAAAAAAACTGCAGCTCAGCAACTTTAGTGAAATAAACAGTTATCAGTCTGCATGGGCCACTTGAGTTAAAAATGTTCTTTATGATGTGACAATAGGTTATGTCCAAGGCAGAGGAAGAGCAAGAAAACTTCATCCAGTGAAATAATCATCCACAAGAGGCTTTTCTTGTTTAGCAGCTAAAATTAAACCAGTAAATTATTCAATATAATGTTGATGTCAACAGCTGTTGCCATTCAAAATGAGACCTTTTGCTGTTTTTGCAAATCTAATTACAATAGAGCCATTAGGGAAACGAAAGTGAGATAGCAGAGACACAGGCAGGATCTGTTGTGGATTTGTCTTTCTCTCCTCCCTTTTAAAATCAGAGTTATGTAATAAAAAAAGTGTTCATACTGTAGAAGACTAGAACAGGAAACAGTACAAAGAGAAAACTTACCTTAGAAGTAGGGTTTCTAATGCTGGTTTGAATGGAGAATGGAAATGTCCTTCTGTAAAATTCCACAAGCCCAACTAGGGGTAGAGTCTACCTTTACAGTCTACCCTAAGTACTGAGCTTCATTGGCCCATGAACAGACAAAAGAGTCATCTTTTCCCTACCCCCTCCCTATCCAGTGCCCCATCACTTTGGAGGGATGAGTAAGATAATTGGTACATTAATGCTCCTTTTTTGTGAAGCATCTCACTCCCACCTGGACCAGCTAGCAGACAGTAGCAATGAGTGTTTGTACTTTCTGCTTCCTCATGTCCTGCCCAAATGTTCCCTCTCATGGCCAGAGCATAGCCAAGAAAAGGGAAAATGGAGATTTTACTCCTCGTCACATCTGGTGATGGATGGCTGACAGATGTTCCTAGACCTGTCAAACAAATATAAAGGGGCAGGTGGGTAGCAGTGAGATGTAACAGGGCCTTAGGCAACAGGAACTTGGGTTTTAATATGTACTTGACTGCTCCTAGCTGAAGGGAGTCCTTGAGTCACCACATATTTGGTGACTTTTTAATGTTGTCATTTTAATGTTAATGTTAGGTTTCCCCTTATCCAGCTGCCTTTTTGTGTTACTGCCTGTTAGAGAAATGAACATCTCACATTGCCAGAATTTGCCAGTCCTGTGACAAATGACAGGCAGCAGGAGGGAAAGCACTAATGGCCTCTCCTCTATACCTTCTCACTAATGCCCACAGAAGTACAGTTGGCTTTTAAAGAAAGTGATACATCTTTGACTAGTTAAATGCTATTCCTACACTGCTAAAATGCCCCTGTAAAATACCCTGAAATTAACAGTTAGAAACCGCTAGACTTTGACTAAAAAAGTCAAAGTCAAAGGGGAAAGGAGAAAGGGATTTGGTGGTAGGGGTCTGCTACAGACCCCCACATCAAGGGGAAGAAATAGATGCGGGGCTCCTGAGGCAGCTCATGGAGACCATAAAAGCTAAAGAGGCGGTAGTCATGGGGGACCTAAACTACCCGGACATCTGCTGGGAGTCACAGACAGCAAAGTCCCACTGCTCACGCAGGTTTCTAACCTGTGTACAGGACCTCCACCTGACACAGGAGGTACACGGTCCCACTAGGGGGAATGCCATACTGGATCTGGTATTGGCAAAGGGGG